CAAGAGACCTCAGTTTGGAACAAGAAAGTTTTTTTCATCTGCCACCACAATCTAAAGGGAAAATTCTTGGTATCATATATCTGTGGTGTCTTTTACATTCTCCATATTGTCAACAGTGTTAAAATTTGCATGGTTATAACCCCTTATCCATACCACCTGCTGTTTCCCTTAAATTGTTTTGCTGCTTTTACCTGATACTGAACTGGCCTTACATACTATTTTTAAAGATTGAAAGAATTTATTGTCACAGGATGGTTGAGGCTGGAAGGAACCTCTGAAAGCCATCTGGTGCCCTGCTGCCCAGGACCATGTCCAGCTGGCCTTTCAGTATCTCAAAGGATGGAGATTTCACAGTCTTTCTGGGCAGCCTGTGCTGATGCTCAATCTCCCTTATAATGAAAAAGTGTTTCTTGGCGCCAAGATGGAACTGCCTGTATTTCAGCTTGTGCTCACTGACTCTGGTCCTGTCATAGAAAACAATCATAGGATTCTTTAGGTTGGAAAAGACCCTTAAAATTGTTGAGTCCAACCACTGACTTCATACCAAGAAGTCCATTGGTATACCATGTCCCTAACCACCACATCTACACATCTTTTAAATACCTCCAATGATGGTGACTCAATCACTCCCTTGGCAGCCTGTTCAAATGCTTGAAAGTCCTTTCTGTGAAGAAAATTTTTCCTTATATCAAGTCTAAACCTCCCCTGGTTCAACTTGAGGCTATTCATCTCATTCATTACTTGGGAGAAGAGACTGACACCCACCTTGCTATGAACTCGTTTTAGGTAGTTGTAGATAGGTTTTTTTCTCCAGGGAAGAGCCTTCTCTTCTCCAAACTAAACACCCCCAGTTCCGTCAGCTGTTCCTTAATCAGTCTTGTGCCCCAGGCCCTTCTCTGGACCCGCTCCAGCACCTCAATGTCTCTCTTGTAGTGAGGGGCCCAGAACTGAAAACAGGATTCGAGGTGCAGCCTCACCAGTGCCCAGTACAGGGGGATGGTCACTGGCCTGGCCTTGCTGTCCACACTATTGCTGATACAGGCCAGGATGCCATTGGCCATCTTGCCTGCCTGGGCACAAGCTGTCTCATGTTCAGCAGCCGTCAGTCAACACCCCTAAGTTTTTTCCACTGAGCAGCTTTCCAGCTGCGCTTCCTCAAGCCTGGAGCACTGCATGGGGTTGTTGTGTTACTTTGCATTGTTGAACTTCTTACAGTTGGCCTTGGACCTTCAATCCAGCCTGTTCAAATGTCTGTGCAGAGCCTTCCTACCCTCCAGCAGATCAGCACTTTGCCCGACTTAAAAGTCATCTGCAGATTTACTGAGGGTGCACTGAATCACCTTATCTGGGTCATTAAGAATGTTATTAAACAACCTGTCACCTGGCTTCATCCTCGTTGCATCCTCCTCTCAGATGTTTATGTACACTGATGAGATTTTCCCTGGAGCCTTTTCATCTCCAGGCTGAACATTTCCAGCTGCCTCATCCTTTCCTCTTACGAGAGATGTTTCAGTCCCCTCATCTTGATGGCCCTTCCTTGTACTCTTCAGTACATCCATGTCTCTCTCATACTGGGGAGTCCAGCCCTGGACCCAGCACTCCAGGTGTGGCTTCACCAGTGCTGAGTACAGGGAAGAATCACCTCCCCTGACCTGCTGGCAGTGGTTTGGCTGAGGACAGTCTTAGGGTTTTTTGCAGCAAGGGCTCATCACTGGCTCATCTTCAGCCTGGTGTCCACCAGGACCCCCAGATGCATTTCTGCCAAGCTGCTTTCCAGCTGGGCTGTACCCAGCGTGTTCTGGTGCCTGGGCTTGTTCCTCCCCTGATGCGGGTCTTTGCACTTCCCCTTGTTGAAGAGCCTGAGGCTCCTGTCAGTCTGTTTATCCCTCCTGCTGAGGTCCCTCTGGATGGCAGTACGACTCCCTGGTTTATCAGTCGCTCCTACCAGCTTGGTGTTATCAGAATTATACATCTTGTGTTTCTGATAATTGCACTAGCAACTCCTAGATACCTCAACTGTTTTGTGAGATTTTTATTGATGCTGTGATTCAGGAGGTTGTCTAATATGACAGCTTCTTGCCCAAATGCTTTTTGCCTGTGTGTTTGACTTAAGTGTTGTAAGTGGCTGTACATTAAGTGCTTTAATGAATCTTTAAGCTGATACCACAAAGTATTGATTTTCCTGTGCTATTAGAAGCTAAGTGCTTCAACTCGTAGGCCTTTCTGCAGTTCATTTGTGGAACTGACTATTATTTGTATACCCAGTTGTTGCTTAAGCTTCAAGTTTGGTTATAGACAAAATGCTCTAGCATTTACTCTGTAGTCTAGCTGGAGACAGAACTCAAATAATCCTTCCTCAGTTCCATGATTTCAGTGCATAAGAAATCAGAAAAGTGATTCAGCTATGAGAAATTACCTTATCTGTGATAGACTTTCATATCAATTCCCATAACCTTTGACCATCTCTTTTCTTTTGTTCTTTTTTTTTTTAAGGAAGTGGTGGTTGAAGGTGAGGTTTTTGCATCTTGCTTGTTCTCTAGGTACTATGTCTAAAATGTTAGGTGACTAAGCTGGAAACAAGAAGTTATTATAATGTGCTGTATGAACTTGTGGTTAACACAGAACTTTTTCTGTAGTTGATTTGTAGAAATTGATCAGTTTGTGTAACATGTTGGAATATCTTTGCTGTAGTTGTATACTATTTAAAATTGTGTTTTGAATTCCAATTTCTTGGCCACTTTTTTCTTTTTTTCCCCCCCTATTCAGTGAGACATCTTCATGCTAGTTCTTGTTTTTCTTTACTTCGCTGTTTTATATTGTTTTATGGTATGTCTGGATGGGATAAAATAATACGCTTATGTTGCCCAATATGATTTTCATCTCCCTTTCTTTCCATTCACTCTATATCAGTAATTATGTCTTACATAATGAACCTAAGTAACTGTGTAATGTTATTATTGAATCTTTCATCCTCATTTTATTCCCTTCTTGTCTGGTATTCTTGTGTATTGCATCATATCTAAAATGACATTGAATACTCTTCAGGATATTGCTTCCTGGTTTGTTTTTTCCTTTTTTCTCATTTCCTTCCGAATGTAAAATTTGGTTGTCTAGGGGTCTAATACTAAATATCAATTGCACTACACTTTCATCTATTCATATCCATACAGCCAGTGAAACTGTACTTAAAACCCAAGCTTGTGGATGAAATTGGCCCATTTTTAAAGTAGAATGTACGGATGTTATCCATACATGTATTGATTTCACTACATATTTAGTTTCTTTGCTCTTTTAGAGAATTTGAGAGTGTTTATTTCTCTTTCTTTCTTGTGGCCAGCATTCTAAAAGCCATAAATCATCATATATTCCTCCGTAGCATGAAGACACATGTTTTGGTGGTACAAATGTCCTGCTTATTTCTGCCATAACTGCGGTGATAATTGAATGCTGCTATAAAGAAACCTTCATATTTCAGATAACCAGTTTTCTCTGTAGCTTTCTTTTATGAATTCGTGTACCAGGTAGGTATTTGTCTGACGTTACCAATCTCGGACTTCCTGAAGCTTAGAAGAATGGTTTTATTTCTGATCCATGGAAAAGACCTTCCAGATTCAAAAAAAAAAAAAAAAGAAGTTGGAACATTGCAATTCTGTGTATGTTAAGATCCAGTCTATTATTCCTGCATGTGTTCTTCAGAGTTCTTGATTGTCAAGTGTATTTAGAGTATGGTCTGATTTCTTATGTAATACAAATTTTAACAGTACTAGAATTTCCAACCAGGTGAATTACAAAGATGCTGAACAGTTAACTGTTGTTTATGACTGAATCTTTTTCTTATCCTTCAGTTAAGAAATTATGCAATTTTAATGATGATTAATGTAATCAGATTTTAAACACTAACAAATCGTTCAGTGCTGGTCTAGTGTAGGTGCCAAACAGCAGGCAGCATGGCTTCTTAGTATATGCAGGAGCTCTTTTTTTCATATTTTTTTTTGCATGTATGCCCTAAAATGGAAGGAATTTTCAAAACACATGAATTTCAATTGTGTTTCCTGTCAGAAGCCTTCTTTCCTATTTTGTCATTATAGCAGTATTTTGACTATGTCTTCCAGGGGCTGGGATATAGTTGGGCTTGGGTGGTTTTTTCCTGTTAATATTTATCTTAAAAGAATTAGTACATAATACATTTTAAACACTTTGATTTTTAGTATGACTTGTACCTTTACTTCTGCCAGAATTTGAATGCTTAATAAAAATGCTAGTGTTTGTCTTCAGTAACACAGTTTGATTTTCCAGCATGCTTACAAAAACATTCAAAATTTAAAATTTAAAATATTGTGAAAACTGAAATGTGTAAGTAAGAACAGTTGAAGCTTAAGTGATGAGGAGGGTAATAGTTTATGTTAATATAACCTTAATTTGTGAAAGGATATGAAGCAGTCTGGTCTCAATAGTTCTTGTTGCAGTATTTCCAAAAAATAATTTGTAGAATCAATTTTCCAAAATGGATATGAAAAGTAACTGAAGTACATAAGAAACAGATGACATAATGGTGTATTGCAGGTTGCATTAACAGTAAAATATTCTCCCAGTCCACAGTATGTGCAGAAACGTTTAGTGATAGTTGATAAAATTTAGAAACCATGTCAGCTCTTGGCGTTTTTTTGCTGCTTGTAGAATACATTATGCTAGTGTTCGTATGTGTGAAATACTCCATGCTTTGCTTTTTACATATTGAGGGGGGTAAGGGGTTTATATTTTTTCAAATCGTGTAAAATGTGTTTGAGAGTGTGTTTTATATATCAATATGAAACGTGTCATTTTCTGGCTCTATATGGATGAGGAGGCATCAACAGACTTGATGCAGTCTTTGCTAGGTTGGGCTAAATAAAGCTTGTGAAACAACTTCCTTTAATGAATTTAAAATGCCGCAACAGGGATTTGGTGAGAACTAATGCTATAATGCATTACTCATCCTTTATCTGCTTCTATTTTTACAGGTTCTGAAGGATGATTGATGCTGGTTTCTTGTGAGGATGGAATTCCAACCCCCACAGTTTCTGTGATGCGAGTTGCAGCACTGTGGATTGATAAGTAGCATGCAGATTTAATTGCACAACCTGCGGAGAAAGCAGTAGGAGTGCTACTTCTTTTCAGCTGCCTAAGTGGACAGAAGTACAGTGTCATCTATCTGCAAGGGAAGATTCTTCAACAGAATTTTACAGCTAACAATAGAGACAACATAGCATCATCCACCTTCCTGATTTACTGTGTATCACCTTCCAAGACAGATGGTGTGTCAGAAGCTGGAGGATGCCTGCAGAGCACATAATAATGAAGTCGTGAATTGATACTGCGGCTTCAGCCTAATTGTCAGGATCACAGCCGACAGAACTGTGCTGCCCTTTTTCTGCTCTCTTAATCAGGCCAAAAGCAGCAGGGTGGTCATGGCTGGCCTCTTTAACAACCTGCTAGTACTGTTTTTTGTTTTTCAAAACATCTGTGTGGGTTTCAGAAGCCCACTTTCTGTCTTCAAGAGGTGGGTTACACAGGAAGACCTAATGTGTTAAATGCATGCAGTCACTTACCATATTATGGATATATGAAAAAGCATGTCCTAGATAAAAACATATATGGGTTTGTTTGGTTTGCTCAATTGCTCTGAATTTATTTTCTGCAGTTTTGAAATGGCACTGTTGTCATATTGAAGGCAGAAAGTCTTGTTTTATTCATAGGTTGCTTTCTAAAATGTGAGTTTAGGATGATAAAATGACAATTAATGAAAATTTTTAGGTAACACCACAGGTGTATTTTAAACTACACCAGGTGTAAATATATTTCAACCACTTAAGTTGGCTTCCAGTATAAAATGATATTTTAAGGAGAAAGCATCATCTAGGTTAAAACTAGGCAGTCCTGGGAAGTTGGGGCGGGGGGGGGCGGTTGTATGCAGAATTGCATAGGTAAACTTGAATATAGTTTGGAGAAGAGAAATTGTAGTCTCTTAGCTCTCCAGAAAAGTGTTCTACTCTTTCTGAGGTATATTGGGCACTGTAGTTACCAAGTCACTTCTGTATCTTTATATATATATATATATATATACACACATGAATATACATATTTCAAATCATATCAATGTTGCATCGTGCTTCAGGTGTCTTACCATTTACTTTGCATTGTATGAATGCAATGTATAAATAAATTGTAAAACAAAACATACATACAGACTTTGATATTCACGTAAATTTATAAAACTTACTGGTTTACTTCACTACTTGTAATAGGAGTTGTGGTGTTGGAATTAAAAATTTCCCCTTTACACGTAATTTAATCTGTATTGCATTACACATCAGACACACAGTCTCAAAAAAAAACCCCAAACCAAACTCGTGAATGATTTAACAGTACTTGAAATTTTCTAGTGAATTAATTCTCTATCTGTACATCTATGTACCTCAGGCAACTTCTTAGGTAAGATGACAGGATACATTTTAGCTAATGTTTTACAAACTAATCTGTGTGATTGCTCAGGGGAACTGTCTCAGTAAATGGTTGGTAACTTAAGCATGTGGAGGAGTGAAATTTCCAGATCAGTCCTGGAGCTCCTCAGCATTGTCAAACTTCCCTGGTAGTTCTCAAGACCCTGCTTTTTAGAAAGACATAACAAAAGTCAATATTTTAAAAAAGTAATTCCTCCTTCATTTTAAGGTACAAAGACACTACCAGATCTTTTTCCAGTGAATGCCTTGGAAGTGACCAGCCAGTGATTTCACTTGGTCTGTCAGATTTTGCATTGGACATTCGCATGCCTAGTGTGACACCTAAGCAGGTGAGAGAAATTCAGTTTTTCTTTTTTGTACTTCCTTTTTTTATATATATAACCTTGAAAAATAAAGCCTTGCCTACAGTATAATTCACATAAAGCAAATAAAAACCCACCAGCAAAGTAATATTTATAGACATATATATATGTCCAGAGAAAAGTAAGAAATAGAAAAGTATTCTCAAATGAGAGAAAAATCTTTACATATGATTAATTGTATTTTTGAAATTTTGGTTTCATAAACTGAAATGCTGAAGTTTATTAAAACTAGGAATATGAGTTTTATTAAAGTGAAATATTTCCAGCTGCGCTAGTAAGTCATACATTTATTTGGAGTTGCAGTTTACACCAAATCTCAAATGAGGCCTTAGTGAAATGAGTTCAGTTAAAATTAACACTGCTGCAACTTTGGCCAGCGCAGAAGACAACCAGAAAGTATTTCATAAGGGTAACACTTTTGACCCAATATTTTAAGCCCCTAAAATACTCCAGGAAAGCTACTATAAACAAGTCATAATAGTATATTCTCTCACATTAGAAATTGCTTAACTTCTCCTGAGCTGAGTGAGTGAAAATGAAGACAATAGTTAAGATTTTTAACATTAGCATTTTTAAGATTCACCTAAAAGTCTGAGATTCTACTGTCATCTTCACATGTAGCTTCATTAAGCAAGATAAACAATTATTATTGAAGGTGTTTTGTTTTTTTTTTTTGCAGGGAAGCAATGCAGAGGGTTACATATATCATTAAGAGACCCTGTGTCTCTTTTAGAGGGCTGCAGATACGTGTAAAGAGCAGGATGTTGTGCTGCAGTAGATGGTGATTCATTGTTGCAGATAACACTTTTAAAAATACTGAAGGGAAAATGAAGTTTTCTATTCTTGGGGAGCAGCCCTCTGGACCTTGTAATTTAACGTAGTGTCATTCCAGTGAGTGTAGAACACAAATATAGTTTCTACTAGATCTTATTTGTCTGCAGCAAAATATTAAACTTATAATTCAGAAAGAGTGAGAAGTACTCTCAGTTCATCCACGTGCACGTTTGTTATTGTTTTATTGATTTTACCTGAGGAGCCATTAGTTGAAGAGCTAGGAAACGGATATGAAGGAGTCAGTCACTTCGGATTCCTTGGTGGTATGCACACCTGACAGTCACATTTTTTATTGAGAATCATAGCAAGCTAACAGAAAGATGTGTAGTGGAACTAACCAGGTCTTTGTTTACGATTTATGACCAGTGTGACCTGCGGTAGATGTACAGTCAGCAGGTTTATCTAATGTAAGAATTTTTCTGAGGGCTGTGAAGCCATTGATTGTTTAGTCAAAAAATGTCTCCAAGCTAGAAAAAGAAAGGAAACTTCTGAAATACTACTTCTGCTGAGTTGAGTTCTTCCATAGCATCACTGTAGGCAATTGTATTTAATTTACTTTTCCAAAGTCCTCGATGCTTTAGCTTCCCAGGTAATTCTTGTGGAAAACAGATAACTGAAAATTAATCTCTTTGAATACTAAGAAGTCTAACCATCTGCATGTGTTCCATGAAATTGAGATGAATTTTTGGTAATACCAGTAAGGTTGTACCTAGATTATGAGCATTCGCATTGTTGTTCTGGAATGATTACTATATGAATCATTTAATTCTTTTAAAGTACAGGCATACAGCTAACATACAGCTTAAACTATGTAAAATATATGCCTGGCTCATGGAGGAAACATGTACATGTTTTCAAACAGGAGGAGGATGGAAAAGAAACCCCAAATATTTAGCATGTGGGGAGGGGGCAGTGTTTGTAAACCACTGCAAATTAATTCAGTGCTAAGGCTTATAAATAGATAATTTTTATGTATTAGTTTGTTCAATAGTCCCTCATTTATCTTCAGAAAGCATAGTGAATTTCGATGCTTTGTTTCCATTTCTTTCATTCTAAATATTCCAAATTTAAAGGTAATTTCTGTTCTTTGGTCTTTTAATAGTCTGATACCTACCTCTGCATGTCAGCTCCCCTGCCAGTGGATGATGAAGCTTACGTAGGTGAGTTTTGGTTGACTGGAAAAACCTAAGCAAACCATTTTGAAGAACCTCAGCATTTTCTGTTACTTTTTTCTTTGAATTACATTGACTTAATCTTCGGCTGTCACGAGTTTCCAGAACGCTTTTGTCATAGCTAAAGCACAAACAAGCTAGAAACACCTACTTAGAGTCAAGATAACACACTGTTTCTGGAGAGATTCATGAGTACCAGTCGTTAAGAAACTGCATGCAGATGCCTTTGGCAATCAGTACCGAACAGTCCCATTTGTAAAATACTGGCTTTCTGTCTCTAGCTGGATACTTAATTCTGCTCCAGTGAGCAGACTGTTTATTTACCTGCTGGTACAGGCTGTAAATCCTTTGCACTTACAGTCAGTGTTGGCTGCAGTAAGATTTTACTTATCTCAGGGAAAAAACAAAACCAGCCAAATCCTGTCCCCTCCATTGGCTTTTTTTTATGCCATGGTGCAAAAATAGAAGGAAACGCTATTGTAATAGCATGCAAATGCTCTGATCATATAGATCAGCAAACAACACTATCTGTTTGGAAAGTCAAAGTACCTCAAAGGTACTTCTGTTTTGTCTTGCTTGTGAGCATACAGTTAGTTGCTCAGGTAGAGAGAAGGCTTTTTGGTTCAACTGAACATAGCTTCACCATCAGAACATGCTAGAAACCGAAATAAAACAATGAGGAGTTAAAATGTCTATATCTTTCCTCCTTCTTTACTCTCTTGTTGCATTTTAGAATATCTGCTCTTAGAATAAATATGGTGGGAATCCTGTGTAGTTTTTGTATTAGTGTGTAATGAGACTATTGTCTCCTCTGGATTTCCTTTTGGAAATCCTTCAGAAACAGAATGTTTTGTTTAGATTTTTGTGTATTATAGTACCTAAAAAAAATGAGTACATTTTCTTCAGTACTTCCTCTGTATTTGTTTTGTAAAGTGAGAATCTGACCTGCCATCTTGGTTGTCAGTTCGATACCAGAAAGGAACATGAGCATTAAAAGAGAGTGAGTGTTCATTGTCTGATAAACTGTAGCTGCTGTGCAATGTGTTCAATAGACTGTTCTGCTTTCATGTGATTCACAGAAAGATACACTACTAACTCTCTGGGTAAGCACTTTTTATTTTGTGCTTCACTGAGTTGCAAACTTGCATAGTTCTATTTCTTATTAGATTCCTGCACATTTAGTTCTGTCATTTGGTGTTTACATGTGTTAAAGCCACATAAATTTTCAGTGGTGTATGTGTTTAGAAGGACCTACTAAAAGAATTTGCCTAAAGTGGTATTTATACAGTCTCAATGTGAATCATGCAAGGCAACCTATTTTTAATCTGAAGGCTGGGATACGTTTAGGGTTTAAGTGTTTACATGTTCTGCACCAGATTTTAATAGGATTTGGTAACCTTCCCAGTGATCACTGTGCTTGAGTACATGTCATTAGAAAGCATAATAAAATTTGATCGCTTGATGAGCTAATTAAAATAATAAAAACCTGTTCTGTGAACATAAAGTTTGCCCATGATAGCATTGTTTATAACCCAAGGTTAATTTTAGCAACATACCTTTTGCTCCTATGAAATGAAATGGCTGTGAGATTAATGTTTAAATGATATCAATGAGTGAGATTAATATATAATTTTTCAAGAAAACGTCATCCAGGAACATTTTAAAAACATGTTATGGGCTTCCACCTTATGCTTGATTAAAGTTTATGAATGAGTAGCCAAACTAGAAAGTAGATTGAGTCTTTAATGGTGCAGGTGTTGATAAAAAAATAATTTTTTCACTATGGTGAACTGTAGTGGTAGATAAAGGGTGCTCTGAAATTCCAGACACTTATAAGAATTGAGTCTAACAGCAAGCCACTCAGCCAAGAAATACCAAGTTTGTAAGTATAACACCCAGTTTGTCATCGTCACCCTCATGTTCATTCACATGGGTGACTAGTAAATAAATGTGTCTTTTTCTTACTGACTCATAGTGAGTCCCTATCTTATCAGATTGTGCTGTATGAATGAGATGGAGCCTATTAAGTTCAGCAACACAAAGTGAAATAATTAGATGATTTATTACTTTTTGTCTGTACGTGACTCTGAAACACTATGGGTTTGTTACTCTAATATGGCATATATTAACTTCCCTATTACCAAGTAATGATGATTTCACTGTATTGAAGGCCCCTAATGTTTCCTTAATCTGTCAAACTGTGGACACTGATATGCTGATAAATTTCTTCAAAGTTCATTCCTTTATAGGAAAGAAAGAATATTAACTATATCATTGTATTGTTATTTATGAATATGAACTTAGAATTTTTTTTTTTTTAATACATTGCTTAACTAGACACCGTTAATATTAAACTGATGCCATGTTCTCTTCATTCGTGTTTCTCCTGGTGTTCATAATTTAAAGTAGTACTTGATCAGGAAAGTAAATCAGATTTTATTTACATTGTTATCAATACCAAAACTGTTACTGTTTTAGCTTGGGAGACAAGCTGTTGAATGGGAATATAAGGACAGCTTGTAAGAGGAAAGCAGAAGGTAAATGAATGAGTGGGCACATGGCATGCCTATTTCTAGAATTACAGCGAAAAAATGGTACAAAATGATCTTGCTTATGTAACTTCTGGTGAAAATAAGGATAGATCATTTATTATTACCATTTTGTTTTTCAGTTGACTTTAAGCCTCATGCCAGCATGGACACTGTCCATCACATGTTGCTCTTTGGATGTAATGAACCTTCTTCTACTGAAAATTACTGGTAAGAGTTACAGTTTGCCTTTGTTATTTTAGCTAAGTTTTCATGTGTTACTTGCTTCTACATAAACCTTTTCCTGTGTCACAAATTTTGATAAATTAGAAAAATTTAGAATGAAGAACTGCATAACATTCTGTGTTTTCCACACTTACAGGTGTAAATTTTCTTTTTAACTAACTACTCTGTAAAGTGGAGAAAAATTTGTGTTTTCTGATTGTTCATGATTAACTGACTGTCTCTGAGGAGGAGACAGGAGCTGTGGAAGGCAGGGTACAATTGGATACCGATAAATCTAAGTTTCTTCTATAGCTGGCTGCTTTTAGTGTATGAATAAAACCAATAAAAAACAGATTTTGCTAACCCTGCAAAGCTTGTGATTTACTCTGCTCTGTGGAACAATTTTAATTTATATTTTCTGGTCAGGTTGCATAATCACAATTTAACTTTTAAGTATTTACCAAAAAGGTAACTAGTGCTGTAGATTACAGCTAATAGGTATAGTATAATGTATTTTCCACAGAAAACAAAACAAAATAAAAATATTAATTTAGCATTTCAAATATTCTCTGCATGTTTTTGGAGATTACTTGAGTAATATTCTAAGCGTACAACAAACATTCATCAAAAGTTTTATCTCCCTTCTATCTACCAACCAACAATTTTAATAAAGAAAATGTTGCAGTCTTGTCCTGTGAGGAAAGTAGACACTTAAATAGTTCAGACAGAAGTAAAACTGTGAAAGTACAGAATTTCTGTTCTTTTCCCAGCAGACAGTTTTTCTGTGTTCTTCTTATTGTATCTTAAATGTCACAATGTACTTTTTGAATACTTTAATATGAAAAATACAGCAACATAAAATGGTTCCGGTTGTGACCTCTTAAAGCCAGTTTACATCTTGAGTGTCCTAATTAAAACTGAGTAGATTTTACTTGTAGTTTCTTGGGTTTATATGTCTGGAAGTAGTTTTGTTGGAGCCTTGAAATAATCCGTATGTGATAGAACAGTATTGCTAGAGGTTGATCAGACTGTATAATCTGTCTTCTTGGAGAGGAACTATGGTCCAGCAGAAAAGCACTACTGGCAGCTAATGTTGCTTTTGGTTTTGATTGCTTCACTTAACATCTGCCTGTCAAATGATGAAGCATATAATTAGTTGTGGTGGCTTGATGTTGGATGTCAGGTGCCCACCAAGCTGCTCTATCGCTCCCCTCCTTAGCTGGGAAGGGGGCAGAAAATAAGATGGAAAAAAAAATCGTGGGTCATGATAAAAGCAGGTTAATAAAACAAAATCAAAGGTTATGCATGAAAGCAAATAAAAACAAAGATTTATTCTCTACTTCCCATCAGCTGGCAATCTCCAGCTGCTTTCATGGAAGTAGAGCACCAGTGTGCGTACTGATTGCTTCACAAGACAAATGTCATCATAACGAATGACCGTTATCCCCTTTCTCTTAGCTTTATATGCTAAGCAGACATTGTAATATGAAATATCCCTTTGGTAGCTTTGGTCAGCTGTCCTGGCTATGTCCTGTCCCAAGATCTTGCCCACCCTCAGCCTACTGTTAAGGGGAAATGTTGGACAGACGGCCTTGATGTTGTGCAGGCACTGCTCAGCAGTATCCAAAACACTGGCATGTTAATCGACACCTTGCCAGCTACCAAAACACATCACTATGAAGGCTGCTGTGGCGAAAAATTAACTCCAGTTCAGCCAGATCCAATACAATAGTGATGCATTTAAATATATTTCCAGTTTATCAGATGCAGGTTTTAATTAAATCTTGACGGTTTTTGTGTGTGTAGTTCCTGAACTACAGTATTTGCTTTACATTCTCAAAATAAAAGCTTTTCATGCCGTGTCTCATAATCTCACATCCTTGTTGCTGCAACAGTTTGGAGCATTTCATCTTGCTCTGCCCATGGCTATCTGAAAGGCTAGAAAGATGATCATGTCTGTTCTACATAAAGGTGGCTTTAGACATCTGCATTTATGCCTGTTTGCCATACTTACATAAGCTCGTATAAATGCCCCTTTGTTATGTATCCATGTGTGTATATAATTAACATAGTATATATATGTGTACACATACATGTGTGTTTACATCTATGTATATATCTATAAATGTCTATGTTGTAAACGTGTTCATTTAAATGTTCAGATATGTAGAAACTGTGGCGTATATTTGTAAGTCATTGCAGAGAGTACATACAATTTGAAAGCAAGTCTTTTCCTACTGGTTTACATATGCTAGAGTCTTTCAGCCACTAGCACTAATTTTGTTCTGATGACTGTGTGTTAACGATAAGACATGTTCAGGGTTGGTGTTTTTTTTAATTATTATTATTTGTTATTTTTGTTACCTGCAGAGTAATGAGTGATGACTTCACTTGCTCTTCCATCTCCTAGGGACAGAATGACTGTTTGAGAACTGACATTTGAGGACACCACTGTAAATCTTGTTTAGCAAGGATCATTCCCTTACAGTTTACATGATGAACATTTTTACATAGCCAGCTTTTATTCAGTTAAGGTGTACTCTGATGGGTTTTTTGCCTTATTGTAGTTTCTTTGTTGAAATTCTGGGCAACATTACTCAGATGGTTTGTAATCAGTTGTAAGAGCATTGAAACGTACTAGCTCAAGAACTATTTTTCATGCCATCATGGGCTAGGTGTATTATGGAAAAATAGCCCTTTAGGAGCAGTCAGAATGCAAGGGCAAAATTGATTTCCCTGAGGTGTGAAGTTTCATTCAAGCCAGTTTTGAATGTAGAAAAATGGGAGGGGGAAGATACAGCATCCAGATAACTCTTCTTGGGTTTCACTGCCCTGTGCCCTTAGCACTGCTGAGGCAGAATCTGTGATGCTACTCTGGCTTGGTGGTTTTTCTGGTGACTTGATGCTGCTCATGCAAATGCCCCTGACCATCTGACAGGCTGTCAGACAGTGTCTAATGGGGAAGAGAGGTGTTTCTACCTTCTTGAAATACCCAGGCCTTTCCACAGAAATAAAGTAGGATTCTAGGGCTCAGTTGCCCAGGTTGCTGTCAGTGCACCAAGAAAAAACATATAGCTGCTTCTATTTCTTGATCATAGTAGCCCTAAGAACAGTTCATCCACTACAACAAGTTTTGCCTGAGCTGATAAACTGTGCTGAGATCAAAGTAGCATGCCTGAGCTGATTCATCAGAAGTTTGGATTCTTCATAGATAGTAAAAAATGCACTTGAATGATTTAAAAGAAAATACTGAATTATTCAGAACTTCTGAGTCTTCTGGCAAGACAGGTCTCACACTGCGGCAAACCTAACACTGAAATGAGCTCTCTTGAAAGAGGGGATTCATAGATATAGCCTTATTTTGGGATTAGGCAAGGCAGCTTGAAATAGTTACCTAATCTATATAAATGTATAAATACAGGTTGTAGGTAACCACCTGTTGCTGGCAGGAGATCATGTTGTTGAAAGCTTTTGGCATCAGTAGTTAGTAAAGGTTGCAAAAGATGTCAAGACTGGTTCAGTGAAATACTTGTATTTCACTGCTTAGAGGAGAGTGAAAACAGTGTAAAAATTATGAGTATAGTTTCTTAACCATTGTCACTGCCCCAGAATGTTCTGCACTGTTAAGCTCAAGAAATAAAAATGACTATTTTTCTCCCTCAGTCATCTCAATTATCTTTTTTTACAACTCTTGGTTAGAATCAAGAAGTTGAGTATAATAGACAAAGAAGTAAACAGAAAATTATTTGTTGTCTTAAGCAATGCAGATATCCTAAAAGGCTAGCGAAATGCTGGTCTTGCTCACACAGTGAATTATTTTGCTTTTTTAATGGCTCAAAACCCCAGTGCCATTAAAAGCTCCTGAACTTACCCCAAATCGAGCCTTTACCAAAATTACGAAAATTGAGCCTGTGGAAGGTCCAGGGCAGTTTATAAAAAAAACAAATATATGAGAAGCAGTCAGTCATCTCTATTTCCACACTTTCCCCTACTCCCTTGACCGTCACATTTTGGTCACAGTCAAAACTAATTGTTAGTGCAGTACTGTGTACTATGCAGTTATAATCCATTTTTAAGGTATTCTGTGGTACTCATTCTGCTCAGAATCTCATTATTTTTTTCCATGTAAAGAAGAAACAAATTTCAGTGATTGCTTTTTTTTTGTTTGTACTTTTTACTACCTTCATGCTTTTAAATCTGTTCATCAGTTATCTTAACTCTTCTTTGTAGTCTCCTCTAGGTTTGCTTTTTTCTGAAAACAATGTTTCAAAAACAGCATTGATGGCTACATATGAGGTTGACCATTTTTAAAGCACAGTGAAGAGCAATTTATTTGTCTTTCTTCACTGAAGTATTCGTCAAACAGCATTTCAGGAGGAAACAGCCTGTGCACTTTTTTTACATAGCTTATGTGGTCCTAAAAAATACTGTGGTATAAACAAAGGCTAGCTGGCCCAGAATGTGGTGGTAAAACTGTGGCTGTGCTTGTGGTTTCTGCTGTTGTTCCTCCTAACTGGTCTCTTCAATACATTTCCAAACCAAGTAGTTCAATACCTGGTTAGATCCCTTTGGGGTTTTTTAGACTGTAGCAGTTGAAAGCTGTGCAGTTTTTACCTGCAGCTGCGTGGGTCATTACTGGTGAGACTTTTCACTTAATCTTTATATGAGTTTTGCTTGTCCACTGGGATGTGTTTGAAGGGGAAATGACCAAACTACTAGCTGTGAAGGTCTAGACACGTTATGAGCAACATTAATGAAAACAAAAAAGTGGCACATTCCATTTTCTCTTGGTGGTCTGATGATTATGGCAATGCTTTCTGTTAGAGGAAAACACAGCAGCTATGTTACAGTAAGGCTCCCTGGGATCCCAGAAATGCATAATGTTCCACAGAGGTGGTTTTCCATATGTGCCAGAAGAACTGATTATTCTTGGGACAGCACCTGGAAAGCATCATCATCACTTGTTCTGGAAGGTGGCAGATATGGCAGATGCCGGTTCATAACAGAAATGTTACTGAACCTGCATCCACTAAAAGTCCTGATCTTTTATGTTTTTATGCTCCTCCTCACGCTGCATGAGACTATTTTTTCCCAGGATTTAAAGTGACTGAAACTACTTTTTATGTATAAAAGTGTTTTTCCAGGTCTTTCCCAGGTTTGCCAGGTTTTACCACCAGTAATAAACAGAGAAGGGGCTATACTGTTTTGGTTTTCATTGAAGTCTTTGGATGAGTATCAGCCTGCTTGGATCAGTTGGTGTAGTTTGAATAATTTGAGGTTGAGGCTTTCTAGATGTCATACTAGGTGTGCTGCACCTGCAGAATTGCTTTCACACTGTGCCCAGTGGCACAGTGCTCTGCCAGTGAAGAAGGTACAAATACAATCTAAATAGGCCTTTTCTCTAATAGAGGATTGAGAAGTGCTTCTGCGTGGGTGTTTGGAAAGCCTCTCTGGGATCGTTGTTTGTTTATATCATCCTGTAACCTACACCTACATGTAGCAGTCTTGGCTGTGGTCCAGGTACTTTAGGCTGTCTGTGCAACTGTTTCTGACTGGTCTTTTGCAGATCTGGTAGTGTATGTGCTTCAGGTTTATCAGTTTTTGCAGGTTCAAGGTGTCTGGAACTCGAGAGTCTTTGGGAGTTTTTTACATTCCACCCTTAGGGTTGCCTGCAAGGCATTGCAGAGGCTAAAGACAACTCTGGAGCTCTCAGTTATTGTAAATATTTGTGACCTGTTTGTGGTCTTTGTTTATTTGTTTGTTTGTGTGTGTATGTGTGATTTTTCTGTTTATGGAAAGCAAGAACTTGTGCAATGGAATAAAATTAACTTAAAGCAGTGAACTTGCTTTAAGTACAGGGAAGAAGAGCATGAGTGCCTCCTACAAGCTGGTCCATATATAGCTGCTTTTTTTTGTCAGTAGTTTTTCAATGAATTTTAAATATCAATTTTGACTTAAAACTTTGATTCCTTCTGTGTTTCTTTCTGCTTTGTGCACAAGTCCAGTCCCTCTGCATAAAAGTAGCAGCCATTGTCATTTTTTGGCACTTGAGCTAATAGTGCTAGATATTTTCATACGGTTCATTCTCGCAAAAGGTTCCATTATTTATTTTCAGCACTGACTACTAGTTTGATAGGGACTACCAGAAATCTCTGTAGTTTTGGCCCTGTTTTTCTAACACTATCATAAGGCAGAGGGGAGGAAAAAACCGAAAGAAGAAGAAGGATCTAATGATATCTGAGAAAGCAGCCTACATTAAAAGGGCTTAAATCTTCCTACATCCAAAACCACTTTGATAGAGCTTAAAATTAGTGGTTTTGCATGTAATTCACCTGTCCTTTCTGATTTAAGAATTAAAAAATCATGTACCATTTTGTTTTCTTCCCTCATGTTTTTAGGGACTGTGATGAAGGAACATGCAAAGACAAATCTAATATTTTGTATGCTTGGGCAAGAAATGCGCCACCCACCAGGCTACCCGAAGGTACTGTGCCTTTAACGTGAAGTTCCTGTGTGCCGGGGCAAAGGAGAGAAGAAGACGTGGAAATAAGCACCTGGCATATACAGGAACCTTGTATAATTTTTTTTATTATGTCAAAACTGTATAAACATCAACCTCATATACTATAAATACACTAGCTAAAATACTTGGGTTTGGTTTTTTCTTCATCCTGTTTGCTATAATATTGTGGGTTTCAGTAGGGGGGAAGAAAGGCTAAGGCAGAGATAATGGTCATAATATAATGCTTTATATAGCATTCATCTTGCATTTCCTACTGTATGTTATTGGAAGGATACTATTTATGTTTCCGTAGCACACAAACTGCATTAAAATATTTTTGTGTGTTTTGGGAAAGTGCAAACAAGTTCAATCTAAATACTGAAATTTTTTTCTGTGGCTTAAGTATGCTTGACATCTTTATGTGCTTCTCATTTCTTCATGCTTTGATGTGCTTGAGCAACGTTTACATACGCATTTTGTTGTATGATAGATGGTTTTGCTGAATTCTATCAGAATTTTTTTAAGCTACTTGTAGTGGTATGTCTAGAAGATAGAAATTGTTCTTTCTAATAAATGCTAAGAGTCCTAGAAATACCTATCAACTATGCAGCCTTGGTCTGAAAAGACTGAATTACACACATTTTTTATTTGATCTTTTTTACTGCCTCTTCATAACCAGGAGCAGTGCACCTCATGAAGAGGTTTATTTTTAGTAATCAGTTTATACACTTACTAGCACAAGTGTTATTTGATTTGGTGATCAGAATGTCAAGTAAAAAAATAATTTTGCTTGGAGGATTCTGTGAAAGCTTTGCTATTAAACACCAGCTAGTAGTAATTTTCTTGTCTCTGAACTGTCCATAAATACAAGGTTTGTGGAGAGGGTTGGTGATGATTCTGCATTTATATGCAGATAGTGTACAGTCCGATTTATAAGTAGGCTTTGCTGTGGGCAGTTGGATCCAGTAACCAAATAAGAAGAAATTTCTTTCTCTGCTTCTTTTGAAGAGCGTTCACTGTAGAAACAGTTCATAGAAATTCTGTTGGTGACATTTCACAGTTTTGTTTTTTCAAGTTAATTCTGTTTTCTTCTGTTCCTGTGCTTACTTCTGTCAACACGTAACATAGCTTCATCATTTCCTCCAGTTTTTTTCTGCATACAATACTAATTTACATAATTAATGTAAAAGAATACTTTACTGCAGATCTTTACATGTTTTCATTCTCAGTATGTTATTAATAAGTCAGTGTTAATCAGTTTTTTGCCATTCACAGGTTGCATGAGAAATGAGAGTTCTGCCAAATCCTACAAAGATGGCAGAACTTGATAATTTAATTTAAAAAAACCCAAACCAAATGTATAGTGGTTTTTTTATACATATATCTCAAATCTGTATTCACATTCTTAGATTGAGAGAATCCTTTGCTTAAAGCAGATATCTGCTCATTAATACCTAAGTTACTGTCTTAGCTTCTTAGTCTGTTTGGGAACATGTGTTGTGATGGTCGTTCTCACCGTTTTCAGGACAACATTTTCTTCACTGTTGTCTCAGTGAAATTTTTTACCCCTTCACTCAAAGCCATTACAGCAATTTGTATTTTTAGATACGGTCAGCAGTGGTGAACCATCTTACGCTTTATTGCTTCTGAAAACAATGCATTTTCCTTCTCTTAGGTGTTGGATTCAGAGTTGGAGGAGAAACAGGTGGCAGATTTTTTGTGCTCCAGGTGCACTATGGAGATATTAGTGCATTTAGAGGTATGTATTTTGGAAATTTGTTCTGTAAGTTATATCAGTTAAAGCATTGAAAATATTTACATTACCTGTAGAAAAGAATTTTCTTGTGAGTGTCACTCACAAAGGTAAAAATCAGTAATCATACTTGTAATAAAGTTTACCTATTAACTGGACTTCTTTATAAACTTGCTCTATCTCTGTAAATATTTAAAATGTGAACAGATTTTTTTTCCTTCAAAAATATAAAGCAAATTACTTAAAGTAAGGAAGAAGCAATAATTTGAAGTGTGGAGAAAAGGTTGTTTTTCCCTGTATAATTCAGGTTTTTTTAATTCAGTTTTCTTTAGGAAAGTTGAAACAAATAACTGTGAACACCCCTAACCTGTCACCTTACTTGAATAGCTGGTGAGAAAGGTGACATGCGGCGACCAATCACAGTATCTGTGTTTGGAAAAAGTTGTAACTAGCAGATGATGTCTTTTCGTCTTAAAAAGGAAATAAACACTCATTTTAAGCATGACATTATGCTTTAATTGTCAATGAGTGTTTCACACAACCGCAGAATGGCTAAGGTTGAAGGGACATCTTGAAGTTGTCTCATACGTTCTCCACCCACTCAAGAAGGGCAACAAAACAGGCAGTTGCAGTTAGCTTTTGGTTATCTCCAGAAGTGCCTGTGCCCATCCTCAGTCACCCTCACAGTGAAAAAGTGTTTCCTGATGTTCAGAAGGAGCCTGCTGTATTTCAGTTTGTTCTCATTTCCTCTGGTCCTGTCACTGGGCACCACTAAAAAGAGCCTGGCTGCGTCTTCTTTACACCCTCCCTGCAGGATTTGTTTGTACCATGGGTAACATATTTCCTTGCACAAGTCCTTCTCTTCTCCAGGCTGAACATTTCCAGCTGTCTCCTCTTACGAGAGGTGCTTCAGTCCCCTCATCATCTTGATGGCCCTTCCTTGGACTCTCCAATACATCCATGTCTCTCTCGTACTGGGCAATACATCCATGTCTCTCTCGTACTGGGGAGTCCAGCCCTGGACTCAGCACTCCAGGTGTGGCCTCACCACACCAGAGGCATCACCTCCCCTGACCTGCTGGCAGTGGTATGGCTGAAGACACTCTTAGGGTTTTTTGCAGCAAGGGCTCATCACTGGCTCATCTTCAGCCTGGTGTCCACCAGGACCCCCAGATCCATTTCTGCCAAGCTGCTTTCCAGCTGGGCTGCACCCAGCATGTTCTGGTGACCATGGTTGTTCCTCCCCTGGTGCAAGACTTTGGACTTTCCCTTGTTGAACTGCATGAGGTTCCTCTGGGGCCATTTCTCCAGCCTGTCCAGGTCTCTCTGGATGACAGCGCAATCCTCTGGGGTGTCAGCAAATCCTCTCAGTTTGGTGTCCTATGCAAACTTGCGAAGGGTAAACTCTGTCCTGTCATCCATGTCATTAATGAAGATGTTCAACAGGAGTGGGCACAGTATTGACCCTTGGGGTACACTGCTAGTTACCATCTTCCAACTAGACATTGCACCACTGATCACCACTCTCTGGGCCTAACCACTCAGCCGATTTTCCATCCACCTCATTGTCTGCTCACCTGGCCCATACATTATAATACTGGTTTACTGAAATTTGGATTTCATTAATACACATTGAGGTATTGATTCTCTGCAACTTTGGGGGACAAGTTTAATTGCATTTATTTATTTATTTACTTATTTATTTATCTTTCATGTTGTGCTTTGTTCTTTAAACCTGAATTGTCTTGTTTTGACATCTTTGAGATGCATGAATTCTTATTTCCACTCTGTGAATCGCATCCTGTGTGGTGGTTCTGGGTTAAGGCCTGTCTGGCCTTCAAGAACAAAAAAACCTGTGGGTCATCATTCTCTTCAAACTCAGTTATGGTGCATTACTGTGTAGGATTTAAACAAGAATGTGAAGATCCTCATGGGCTAAGTAATAATATGTTGGACTTGAAAGAAGGGAGGAAAAGTAAGCTGGGTAATAGCAAAAATATAAAGGAGGAATATGTATTATACCAGTAGTTTGAGCTGTGTTTACAGCCTCCTAACCCTTCTGTGGTAACAAGGTAAATGATCAACATGTTGTAATTGGTTTGGACAAAGAAATTAGCCTGTTGCTGGTAGCTTCTGGATGCGATGCAGCCTTTCTGCCGTATACCACCTTTCTGCCATATACAACCTTTCTGCTGTATACAGCACTGTCTGAAGCTGAAGGTATGGTTTCTTGCCATGATTTAAAGACAAAATGTAGCATGAAGGCATTTATGGTAATGAGAAGGAGGAAGAGAAGGAGAATGAGGAAGAAACAAACTGAGGGTGCCAGCACTGTTTAAATGGAGTACAAATGCAAATGTGTGCAGCTGAAGTTGACAGAATTTATTTTCATGGGACAATTCAGATGGATCATTACAGCCAGTGATATTGTTTGCCTACTAAAATCACAAATGATTGAAGCTAAAAACCTCTATAGAGAGCTTGATAGTTGAGAGGCTGCTCTTCATTATTGCTTGGGGACAGTGAGAGTTCTCACTGTTCATTTTCACTCTTAAGTAAAAAAACCAACAAAACAGAAACAAATGAGGTCAGTACCCTCTGTTGCATATTAGTTGAGGATGTATTTGGAAAGTTTTATTAATAAATTAACTTGGTAGTCAAAACTTAGTTTTGCAGCAACACTTTTCTTATTTTTTGCCTAGAATATCTGTGCAGGGCTTAGAATAATCAGTGTTATAGATATAACCCTGAAACATTATGAAAGTTTAAGAAGTGTGGACTGTAATGTAGGAGATACTAGTTTAATGTACTCTTTCAAAAGTTAAAGAGTATGGCAGGATGCCTTCTGTTTTATTTCATTTTCTTTTGCTTGATAATCCAATATATTATTTTTAAAATGAAAAATAATTACCTTATTTTGATCACTGGATTCCACGTGCTTCTCTTTGATAACCAGAAGGCTTAACATTGGTGCCTTGAATAAAATAAATTCTGCATACTCCTGAATATTCATTTCTATTGTATGTTACGATTTCCTTTCAGGAAATCAGTCATCTGTGATCTGTACAAGGTATTTGTTTGCTAGAAATATTATACCACATCAGGATCAACAATTGTTCATTTCTTTTCTATTTGGAAAGCTGTGGAAATGGCACCAGGGAGTCTGTGTTTGTATTTTGTTTTTCACAGAATAAACGTAGAGTTTCATTTTCATGTTACTAGACTTTTGAAAACAATTTTGCTGAGATTCTGGATGAGTGAGCAGATTAACAGGAGCAAGCACCTTGACTCTCATGAAGAAAACCTGACTCAGCTAGTCTTCTTTCATGTATCAAATACTGAAAGCAGCATAATGAATTTGTCTCTTTTTTTACTAAGACTTCAAGTTAAATTTTATGCTACATGTCATTGTCTTTTTAAATACAACTTGTGTAAAATTAATTCCCGGTGGGCATTAGCTTTGGAATTGCCTTGCTCAGAGGTTGTGCTCCATCTTTGAGTCTGCTTCAAATTTTAATGAAGCAAAGCCAATTCTGACACCATATGTGGAGATTCTGGTCCAAATCAAAGGGCTGACTTTGAAATAACAAGGAGTTTGGAATTTCATAAAGAAAATGACCGTTCTGCTACAGTGAAAGCTTTTAAGTATTGTAGTAGTCACGTATAATACTGTACTATTTCTATTAAGTATTAGAGCAATGAAAAAAATGAATAAAGGGTTTCAACATTGTGCCCTGTAATTGATAATACATGTACCCAGACTGCAAAAAAAAAAAAAAAAAAAAGCTTTTGAGAAGTGTTTATTTTTCTAAGTAAAAAAACGCACAGAATTTTAAGTATCTAGGAAGCCCTAGAACCCTCAGCTTGAATGTCAGATTATCATACATGTGACTGAAGAGATAGACTGGCAGGAAGCCTGTTGGACTTGGATTGGAAGTTTTATCGAAATCATCCTACAGAAAGAGCATTTCTTTTTAGGATAATTCAGCTTCTCCTCGGTTATGAGTGTTCCATTTGACAAACTATTTCGTATATTTCTCCTAGAAGACAGGATTTAGCAGGAGCAGCACAGGTCATTCTTTTTAACTAATTTAAGCATTTAACATGCAGTATTGATTTTGGATAAGATAGGTAAATAAAATCAGGGACTATTTAATATGATTGTGTTATATTTGCACACCACACAAAACATAGTCATAAGCATAGCTTGTAGTTTCATCTGGGTTGGAAACTGCTTTGACAATTGGCTTTCACAGAACCTGTTCCTGAAGTATATAAAGACGCTTTTCCCAGTCTTTGCCAGCTGGCAAATAGTAACTAGTAACTTACTTGTCCCAGAGCAGTGCATATTTGCTGAGTAGCTGAAAGAAAGAAATCAAAGTAATTCCAGTCAGCTGGACTGACAAACTTGAAAGGAATCTTTAAGATTTTCATAGAATCACATACTAAACTAGGTTGGATGCCACTGGCCTTCCTGGCTGCCTGGGCACAAGCTGGCTTATGCTCAGCGACATCAGTCAGCACCTCCAGGCCCCAATACCGAGCCTTGAGAGACACCACTAGTGGCTAGTTGCCAACCAGATGTGACACCATTTACCACCACTCTTTGCACTTTGCCATCCAGCCATTTCTTTGCTCATTGAAGAATGCACCTATCCAGGCCATGAGCAGCCAATTTCTCCATGAGGATTCTGTGGGAGAGTGTCAGATGTTTTACTAAACTCCAAATAGACACTGTCTGCTGTATTTCCCTCCTCAACCAGGTGGGTCACCTTCTGCTTGGTTTGTGCATTAAGGATATTTTTTGCTTCAGTCACACAGTAAAGTCTGGAACGAGTTTGCATGGGGAACAAGCATGGCCTCACTGCAGTCAGCATTCTTGTATCGACGGTTCAGCAGCTTTCAGTCTTTCAGAGATCAGCTGTAGGGTAGAAGCAAGGAAACAGCATTTCAGTCATATCTCTGTAACTGTTAGAAAAATGTTTAGCTCAGTCATGGCTATATATAGCCCTAGGTGAAATTATAATATGGTGCAAGAATTTCTTAGAAACCTACACTAATGTATCTATCTATTATTTTGTCAACGCAGGAGTCATGGACAACGCAGGAACGATCAATGTGATCAGCGAATGCCAATTTATTACAAAGCTTTAACTCATATGCCATTTCTTACAGGCACTTACAGTGATTTGGCATATTATGATTGGATACATGTCTTGAAGACCTTTAGTGACTAACACACACAGGTGTGAGAACTTGACCTCGAAAGCTAGCCAACAGTCCACAGTTCTCATTAACTCAGTGAATTACAGCTTCTTCTTATCTTGCTTGCTTAAGCTTCCTCGGGCCTCTCACGGCCTTGCTGTATCTTTCAGGATTATTCAATTTTTGCACCAATTATGCATTCTCCTGTGAGAACACTGTCTCCACATTATTTTACTCCAGACACAGCACTGCAGATCAGAAGTTGTTTTGTTTCTCCTGATAATATCATAGAGTCATAGAATAGTTAGGGTTGGAAAGGACCTTAACATCATCTAGTTCCAACCTCCCTGCCACAAAGAAGGACACCTCACACTAAATCATGTCACCCAATGCTCATATAATAATATGATTAATATGATTGCCTTGTATAGTTGCAAGAATAAATTTCCCACTGTCTTCAGTTCATTTTGAAATTACCCAATTTATATTTAAATACTGACTGAAAATTTTTTCAATAGTCTGAAAATTTAAATAGTGTGAAAACACTAATACTGGCAAACTGAAATATATTGGAGAAATTTCCTTCCTCTCACAGTGCTGTTTTAAAAGAAAGACTCAGTGACACAGTAAGGATTAGATTTTTCAAACACGACTAATATTTGGCATATGTTAGGTTTGGGTTTGTTGTTTTGGGATAGTTTTTCAACAGTGTTTAAAAGATAGGGTGATGATATTCTCAACCGCAAATTGCAAAACTGAGAGAAACAAAACTATTGATTGCATTTTAAATTTTAAAATTTTAAATGACATTAAGTAATAAGGTAAAATGTTCTGAGGAAGCAAGCATTTCCCAACTTCCATTAAAATTTATGTAGTGCAAACTCTCTAACAGCATTAAACTGATAAAGCTGAATTCTGCATCACCTGTGTTATATGAATAGCCAAAAGTTTAGTAAAAAAATTCATTTCAAACAAGGAGCGTGGAGCGAAAAAGACTTCACAAAGACCCGTATTGAGATTGTAATTGAAGCTTCCTACAGTGAAGAGTAGAGGAGGAAGAATAGTATATACATATCTTGAGCATTTTTCTAAAACCATGGACGAAGAATTGAATTTCTTTCTCTTGAATGTTTTCCAACCATTTCCCTACTTTTGTCCTCATAGCTTAGTCCTTGAGGTGCTTTTCAGTTCATGACTTGGCCTTTTGGAATTAACATTTGTAGCTGTGACTGAAAACTAGTGCTTATTCTGGCATGGCGTAACTTCAGTTTTTCTTCCTGTCTTTAGCCAGTGATGACCATATCTTGGCTTTGTAATTTTTCCCTTATCTACTATAACTTAGTCTTTTATTTGGTCCTGTCACTTCTCTCTCTCCTTCAACCTTTTTCTTTATGTCTCTGCCACCTTTCTGCTTACTCACCATGTGATGAATGTGGGGTTTTTTGTTATTTTTCATTTTTAGCAAGTAACTTAAAAAAGTTCCAAAACCAAAGACATTTTAAGACTATTTTTATATCTGTTTTAAAGACTGTACTTTAAATTGGAGAATTTTTAGCTTTAATTTTATTTTAATTTTTCAGTGGCTACTATTTTTCTGTACATAGGTGTTTGCATAAAAATTATACATAGGTTTGTATGCTATTGTAATGAAAATATCTTCTACAATATATTGTTTATTTTTTTTTGTAAAACAGAAAATGTGGATGGTACAGCAGTACAGTGGCTCACTGACTAGTTTTGCATTTTTGTACTTATGTGCATAGTCTTAAAATATTTCTAGTATAATTACAAGTGAATTTGTTATTACTGTGCCATACCCATATATTCAGTCCTTTATGCAGAATATAGGTACCAAACTCTCTGAGTTTCAGGCAATCCCATTTGCGTTGAATGGATATGCTTCTGTTTCTGGATCACCATTTGAATTTTCAGCTACTTTTCTTCTGATTCATCACTGTTGGTTTCAAGAAATCTCATGAGGCATGCTTTCCAGACATTCAGTGCACCTGCAGTACTGGGTAGTCCACCCACCAGTGTAGAGTCAAAGAGCTACTGTTGTAATTTTTCTTTCACGTAGATAGTGAAGACTTTCCTTCTCGTTGTTATTTGTAAAAGTACGACTGTGATTTATTGATTCAAATTTTTAATACAGAAGGGTTTGTTGGGACACACAGAGCTGGAGAAACTTAAGAATTCTCAGATGCCATGATGTTCACTGTGAGAACCTAGTGAAACTGGGGTAGTGATTTTTTCACTTGCATAACATATGCAGTAATTTATACATTTTGTAAAACCAGTAGCTTTCTACTTAGTGAACATATTGGAGTTCTAGTGTTAGCACATTAACATTCTAGTGTTAATGGTGGTAAAACCCAAACTTAGTATTATCCTTTAATAATGAAATGTGGTGTGACTAAAATAGCTAATGTTTGAAAAACTAAACTGGTATTTTTTAACCTGGAAAGTCGCTGTTTTGTCCCACTCTAGTTATTATCCTTTCTTCTGTTCAAATGCAATGTTGTTTTCAGTTCTGAACCTAGCTGCTGATGGAAGAAAATCTCTCCCAAGTTATCACTTGTCATCAGACCCATGGCTACTGTGTTATCTTTCTTATCTGAAGCATATATTGTTAGAGGATATTTTTTCAGCATTTTCTGTTTACCTGCTTTGGTGTTAACAGCTGTCTTCTAACTAGAGCTGTTTTGGTATAAACATAAGAAAGGGAACTTCTTGGAAAAAAAAAAGAGGTTTGAACTTCCAGATCACCAACCAAAACAGAGTAACTTTCAAGTCTTTAGTTTATTTAAATTAAAATGTCAAACACATTACATAATGTTGGCACATTACATTAACAAATGAATTAACTTGTTTTACTCCTTCTGGGATGTCCAGTGTTAAACAGAGCTGCTCTGTACTGGTATCTCAAAATCACCTGGTGACTTTATTGCAAGTATTTCTGGCTGCATCGTTATTAATGGCTGAAACCATTACTTTTCCACAATTTTTTTTTTTTCTAGCTTTTCTCAAAATACAGATTTGTTTGAAGCAAACCAGCTTTTTCTGCTGTTGGAAAAATGATGTTGTTTCATCTCAGATGCTATTTCATACAGATCTACAGTACCTAATGCCAAAAAAGCAGTTAGGTTTTCATCCAGTTTTTTATCCACTAGTTTCTTTCTTTATTAGGATTTTGCTGCAAATGCAGCATTGTGTTCAGATTTGTGCAAGTTTGGGTGATGTTTTCATAGTATGAAAGTTCTACTGCAAACAATAAGATTAAAACTTATTTTGTCTTCTGGTATTCTTTATACGGAAGAATAATGTTACTAATATGTAATAATTTTGTATTAGTTCAGTTGTAAACGATTAAATTTTTTTGTGATTTGTACAGACAAACACAAGGACTGCTCTGGTGTAACTTTACATCTGACGCATCAGAAGTAAGTATTTCTAAAAATACTTAAATGTTACAATTTTTTTTCATTGGAACAGAAGGCATGGAAACCCCTCCTTTATATTCCTCTGAAAACATGTAAAATAAAAATAATACAGACATCACAATATTAAGAATTTTGAAGCTATGTGTCATTTGTTGGCAAAAATTTTTGTTTCTGCTAAGAAACTTGATGAAATAGTGCTATCAGCACTGAGTTCATCCAGTTTAAGAACTTCGTATTTAGAAATCTGGGACAGGAATTGTGTAGGTGGTCATGTTGTTTTTCATGTTTTATAGAAGATGCTTTAAAATTTATAGCTTGTATGAAAAAGAGTAAGGAAAGGGAAGTGCTGTGTTTAAGCTGCTTTCTCAATAGACCAGTTTCAGACATAATTTATTTAGAAATTAGTGGTGGTAAATGGTACTGCATATCGTGTCGCAGCATGTTTTGAAAAGGACTTGATTAGCACAGCTTGAGTTTTGAATTGCAGGCAGCCTTTGATTGCTGGAATGTATCTTATGATGTCTGTGAACACTGTAATACCGCCAGGCGAGAAAGGTGAGCTGTAATTCTACAAAGTGATTATGTAATTTTAGCATCTGGTTTATTTTTACTGCTTATTGCATAAGAAAATGTAGCAGAGACTCACTGAATTGTAAATGGACAAATTAAACATATGATGACAAAAATAGTTATAATTCTAAAATTGTATCATATTTCCTGACAGCTACATCAGCAAAAGTGATCAGTGTTGTAGAAGACAGTGTGCAGAACAATAATGATCTGTGCAATACTGACATTTCTAGAAATCTTATGAGTATTTTATTTTTGTCTTAATATTTTACAAAAAAAAAAGCAGTATTCATTTTCTCATTACCTCCATCCCACCAAAAAAAAAAAAGAAAAAAAAAAGGGAAAAAAACCCCACCGTACTATTTTTGGACTGTTATTCATAAGTATTTGCCAATCATGCTGTTTGTGGTTTACCAAGAGTTCAGTTTTAATAAATTGATTTCTACCAGTAAGGAACTGTTCTTTAAAGAATTTATTCATATGTCCTTATGTGGTTAAAAGGTCAAAATGCTGAAAAAACATTGTACAACAATGTTCCCAAACAAATCCTACTCAGTGGATTTTACCTGAAGCTCAGCTTGTATAGTCCTAATAGCATTTCTTCAAGCTAGCATGGAATGTTCTGTTTTAAGGAGTTTGAGCACTGACTCCATATTTGCCTATCCTACACTGGCATTCTAGATAAGATATGTGAGAACACCATTTTTTCCCATTTGCAGTTAGCTGCCTAAATAGGGTGAGGTGGTCAAATGCCCAGCTGACTTCAACTGTTGTGAATTCAGCCACTTGAATTCTTTTTCAGTTTGAATTGAATCTTAAACAGAATTTGCTTTTCAATATGAAAACATCAAAAGAAACCATCCTCCTTATCCCCCCTAAAAGATATTTGATCATTGCAGATATTTACTTTCTCAGTTGAAGGGGGGAGGGAAAGGGAAATAAGATTCTGTGCCTGCTCAATCAAATTTGCAGTTCTTCAGAAGATCGTGAAGTTTTTTATAAAAGGAAGAATGCAGCCAGTCTCTCTGGCTGCATTTATCTCAGCCAGCCTCAGAGAGGCATCAGCGGAAAATTTCTCTGTAGGCTCCTAACACTAGTATAGTTCTAAGTATAGCACTTCTCTGCCAAAGTCTGCATCTAACCCTAAATCTTTAAAACTGGGCCCAGAACCATAAGGTCTTACAATCAAGACTTCATTATAAATTGTATAATTTTAGAATGATACCAGTTTATTTTCATTTTCTCCAGAGTAGACTGTTGACCATAGCTATGTTTTAGTGTTCCTCTTTTAAGTGTTACATAGTCTGTAAGCAAGTGTATTACTTTGTTAGATAGCAGCAGCATATGCTGGAAAAAAATACTATTAAGTTGCAGTCCCATTTTTTATGTACATCATCACAGAAGGTCATTTTCAAGTGACTGAAGTACCTTAGTGTACCTTTTCTCTAATAATTAATGTGGGGTTTTTTCTTTGTTTATTGCTATCATATTTTACAGTGGTTGATGCAGACATTGCTTGCCATTACAAAAGGTTTCCAATGCACCTTTTTGCCTACAGAGTTCATACACACAGATTAGGTAAGAGTTTTATTGCAACATGAGAATATCAAATACTTAACAGAAAAATGCTGACATGACAGCATATTTTTCTTAGATGTCTCTTGTTCACATACATATTGATATGTTATAGGTAAAGTAGTGAGTGGATACAGAGTGAGAAATGGTCAATGGACATTGATTGGTAGACAGAGTCCACAACTACCACAGGTTGGTTGTATTTTTTAATTCTAACTATAAATTTTGATTATCTTTATTTAAAACCAGAAAGGTGAATTGACAGTCATGTACCCATAGATATACCTCATGGTGTTTCCAGTGGTACATATTGTGCCAGTAGAAAGTGAATGTTGCCCAGCATTATCATGGTTACATTACGATGCACAACCGTCCTGAAGTTACTTTTCAGATGTGTAGCAGTTATTCTTGTGTGTGGGTGTTGATGTAAATAATATGAGATGCTTGTACTGATTAGGGTGACTCATCCTCTCTTTCAGGCATTCTATCCAGTAGAACGTCCTGTGGAAGTTAGCTATGATGATACCCTAGCAGCTAGATGTGTTTTCAGTGGTGAAGGCAGAACTACAGAGACACACATAGGGTAAATTTTCTCTATTTGCTCCATGTCATTGGTTATGTTTAGAAATATACTTGTTTCATGTCTCCTTTCAGGATAATTCTAATTGTTAAATTCTGCCAGAATGTTCTATTTTGCTATCTAGTCTGCTAGACATTTAAATCTACACAACATTCATTGCCCTCACTTTGCTGAAGTGTTCAGAAGCTATGCTACCAAGCACCTTACTCAGATGTTGGGCTGATGTACACTTAAAGGAGTCATTAAGTCTAAAAAAGTTTTAGTAAGCTGAAGTTACTGACTATTTAAGGCAAAACAATAAAGTGTCACAATTTCTCCTCATTATTTCAGAAGAAAATTAATGGAAATTTATAAAATTCTGATAAATTTTGAGCCATCATAAAATCTGACTTTAAAAATGTGAAATAATATACGAGTTACCATTATTTCAATATAAAAATATACATGCTCTTATCAAAACAAAGCAAGCCATAAATGACTAATAATGATCAATAGGAAAACCTGAACTGTGTTTGTCAGTTGAAGATGACAGGCAGAGTTCTGTAAGATGAAGTTGACTTATATAACCATAAAAATAGATGCAATATTAAAAAAAAAAATTGTCTTAAGTGGCTCCAGTTCTTTGCACGAGAATTTGCTGCCTATATAGATGAATGAAGATACTCTGCAGAAGTCTCTCTGTTCTGGAAGTATGTGCTGCAGAACCCCAAGGGATTAGACATTTAACGCACTGAGCACCCCAGTATTGCATCTCAGTAGAGAGATTAAATTTGTTTATGAAATAGAGTTTCTCAGGAGTTCAGATACCTAATAGAAGGATTCTGAGTTTTCTGTGAATTTACTACAACTGTTGTTGATGGAGTTTGGTTTTTTTCTTTTTCTTTTTTTTTAACTATAAATACTTAAAAGGACGAACTTTGAATTTTTTTGACACAGTAACGTGTCAGGTGAATCAGAGTTCATGTGGGTTCCACATCCCCTTTTCTACTAGAGTTTTAAAGAGGAAGCAATTATAATAACAGATATTGGGAGGCCAACAGTGAAGTTAATGCTTTCTAACCAGAGCTTGCCCAGTCAGAGTCTAATTTTTCTGGTCTCCAAGGGATGCTAAATTTTCAATGCTTGGAAAAATACCAATTCCCCTTTGAAATAGTCTATTTTCCCATGTTCCCCGTATCTCCCCTCTGGCTGGTGTCATTAATGTTGCTATGGTGAATAAATGAATGCTGCAGGATGCTGCTGGAAAAGTCAGCACTGACGTCTTTTGCAAACAGCTAATAGGCCACCCCCGTAACTATGAATACAGGCTCAGTGGTTAATTGTGAAAGCTAATTAAAAAATGTGAATGTAAAGCCCTTATTTTGCAAACCTTTCTTTACAGCTCTAGCTTATTCCATTGTCAGAATTGTAGCTGTAAATAACATACATCAACCATGAGGCAGAGGTAAAAAGCAGGAACAGATCACAGTTGCAGAGAGGCCCTGTGTTGTCTGTGTCACAAAGTAATATTTTTCAGAAGAAAATTTTTCTCATGCCAGCTTTTTTGTCTATTGAAGACAGAATTTTGTAGCAGTAGAGAAGAGCCTCTCCTGTTCCAAGTGTGTGGACAACATTTATCAAAGAATGGAAGTTTTCCAGTGTTTAATCGTTTCTCTTGCATTCATGTCTTCCTTACAAAGCTTGTGATCAAGTTATTCTCAAGATTGCAGTGCTGTCTTCTCTTTAAGAGATATTTATGGTGTCCTAATATGTAATGAAATTTTCTGCTGCATTAGAACCAGAATGATTGGCCGACAAATGGATGCATTTGAACATGGGGGGGGGGGAAACTGTCATGAAAGATACCTGCTGAAATGAAACATAGATGTTATTTGCAACGATTTTAAATTACGTTTGCCCCAGATTGAGAGGAGATTGTATGAATGCTGGCATGATGGATGGTGCAGTTCTGTCATATTTCACCAGAACGTGTATATAGTAGATGATGCACTGGGTACTATGAGGATAATACTGGGGAAATGGAAAGAAGAGCAGATCAAATAGTTGATACAATTTTCTGTAGAATCAAACCCAAATTGTTAGGAATTTCTGAGATACTTGGGGAGTTTGTGTATTGTCTAGTGTAAGCTGAAAGAAATTCTCGATATTTGCTGCAATGAAGCTATTAGATGGTTTAGTGTGGGACTTCTACTAAATATGACATTGCCACTTTTTATTTAATACTCTGTTAAGCAAGTTAGATTAATTGAATAACAACTCTATCCAGCTCGTTTTTTCCTAACTACCACATCTTTTCTGTGTTATGTAGGGGAACAGCCAATGACGAAATGTGTAATTTTTACATTATGTACTATATGGAAGCGAAGCATGCAGTCTCATATATGACCTGCACACAGAATGCAAACCCTGAGTTGTTCAGAAATATACCACAGGAGGCAAATGTCCCTATTCAAATCATGTCTGATATGCTAAAGATGACACATGGACACCATGAAGGTGAAAAAAACTTATAAAACTTAAAAAAAAAATCCATTTTATTCAAATCGGTTTTTGCTCACTGTCGTGTTTGTCTATGTTGCTTTGATATACTAAATTTTCATTAAAAATGAGATACAATTCTGAATAAAATTGAAGTCATTGATTATATACCATCACGGGATTCTGCTCTTGTTTTTGTTGGAAGTCTTTGTCATAGTCTTTTGTGTTTCTTTCTATTGTCATCTTTCAATTTCCAACATATTTTTATAGTTACGTGAGCTGTGTACCCAAAAGATTGACCTCTTTTCTATGCCAAATATCGGTATTTTATATTAGCACTTTGTTAGTATTTGCTTTATCTTGTTTCCTACAAAATTGAGTCATAATATTTCCATAGTTTTCTGGATCCCCTGCTTTGTTATGGAAGGAATCAAATGTTTATATTGAACACCTGCAGGCATTTAATTTCTAGCAGTAGTATTACTCAGAAGTAATCTGACTGGTGTGTCCGTGTAGCAAAATATAAATCTTAATTTTTCATTCCAGTTGTTTCACTGCTGCATTGTCTGGTACAACTACTGTAGATAGATAAAAATATCAAACGTTCATTTCAGAAGGGCTTTTCTTTCCCAGTCAGAAGATACTAAATTCCAGTCACACACAGAGTTTAACATCATATCCTAAATCTATTTTTCAGAAACCAAGGACAGTGATAAAAGTTCCTTGCTGAAGCAAGTGGAAAAAGAAGAGGAAGAGATTTTGGAGCAGAGTATGTACTTGTTTATTTCTCTGTCAAGTACAGGACACACTAATGTAAAGTACTGATAAATTATATCCTGCTTGTTAGTAAGTTATGAAGGTTTTATTGTTTATCTTTAATTGATGCAACATGCAATGTTCTGTACAGCTAATAGGATTGAATGCTATATAAGAAATAATTAAAAAAAACAGTCTACCATTGATCTCTAGCTGTGTAGATAAAATTCTTCAGAGCATTTTTATCTCATTAGGTTTTCCTGTTCCTGGTTTAATTTGCTAAAGAAGGTTGTGGTTTATCTCTAAGTGCAATCCTAAAGGATGGACACGAAGTAGTCCTATAGTATGTAACTGCTCTAGATTCTGTATGTGACTGTCTGCTATTAGTTCTTCCCCTATTTCTCATTTTGTATTACAATGTATGTATTGGGGAATAGTATGTTTTTACAGTTCAATATTGGTCGTATATGCGCTGGATCAAGTTCAGCTAATGTTTAATACTGAGTTATTTTTAACTACATTTGTGTATATGTGCATATGCACATAACTTGTGCCAAAATGTGTGTAGTACTTAGTTGCAGGACAAAAACCCATGACTGTTATAAAGGTTCTAGAAATATGCTGAATGTTGTATAGGTTTGGGAGATATGTTAAAATAAGACTGTACTTTTGTTTTTGTGGGTCATATGCCATTTGATAAATATTTGTTTAGTATCAAGATTTTTCTTGATGTAAATGAGAAGACCATGTTGAGGATCAGACGTGGTTCAGACATTTAATTTATTAAAAATAAATTAAATGCAGATTTCCTTTAGGCTTTGATGAGGCAAAAGATTAGGACAGTGTTTGGAGTTTTTGATAACATCTTCCGTAAGGGTTAAATTTTCTATATGCCATATTGCAAAGTTAACTCAAATAATTAAGTTACAGTTAGATAAAAACCAGCTTCTGGGTCTAGTGTGAGGCATCCCTGCCCACGACAGGAAGTTGGAACTGGATGTATCTTAAAGTCCTTTCCAACACACACCATTCTGTGATTCTGTGATTAACAGTGTCTTGACTGAAAGTACTTTAAACTACTGGAGATAGTATTTACACTTCCATATCTGAAACTTAACCCTAGTCAATTCAAGGTGGATTTTTAAAGAAAGAAATACAACTATATTTTTTTAAGCCTGTTCCAGAACAGAATAAGCTAGCTGCTTGTAAATGAAGATCAAGATTTATGCTGAAAAGCTGCCCCACCTTTGTTACTAATAAGTGCATTAGGGTTTGGTTGATGAACTTGTGATCTGTGAGTCTTACTGAATTTGTTAATGTTTGAAAAAAAATGTTGAAACAAGGTCCTATTTTTAAAAACTTCTTTATTTGTCTTTGAAATGTATTTCAAAGCCACATTTCTACAATGCAGTCTTGTTTGTTGAGACCACTGTTTAGTATACAACCTCATCTAATCTGTTTTCATGGAAACACACTGCATTGTTTTGTCCATTTGAAATAACTTGGGTTCATAATGTGAGATATTAAAACATAGTAGTTTCTTTGAGAGAGTTTTAGTCCATATTTATGTGTTAGTTTAAGATAAACTCTCCCATCAGTGACAGGAGCCTAGCTTCAATTTTACATTGATAAAGCTCTAACTTCAGTTGAATTACACATGTGTAAGCAAAAGAAGCAAATTGAAAAATTAGATCAGGTTTGGTTTTATTTTTGTCTCCAAAAGGGAAAGGTTAGTGGCTGTTGTAGGTGGGTTTTGATCCTACAAGTGCATGAGTACCTGGTAGGATACACTGGGAATACCAAGAGCTGAAAGTGGTTTGGTAAAATGTGCCTATGAAAATTACACACAAATTGGAGTTTGGTTTTGTGGAGCAAAGTGCTTTCTGTAATTGTGTTGTCAGTTTGTCCATCTCCTCAAGTAATGTTAGTGAGATAGCCAATATCAAGCAAATTTGAACAAGGTCTCAAGGACAGGAAGGCTCTGAAGTTTGGAGGGAGTTGCACAGAAGCAAATGCATACTTTCACTGAGGTAAAGCTTAAAATATAAATTTTTCCCTTTATATCCTGGCATGACATACTCTGTATGATAAGCTTATCTACGAAACACAGATCCACCAAAACTCAGGGGTTTTATTAGTTCCATTGCTGCTGAGCTGTTGGTCAGTAAATTCAGACTTTGATTTGCTCTGAAGATAATGCTTCAACAATTTTTCTGTAATTCTGTCTTTTATCTTGCATGTTTTTTCTTTGATGACGCACTATGTTGTAGCAACTTAATTTGTCCTTGTTTCAGGTAACTGAAGTAAACACTGTCATTTCACTAATACTGAAATACTTGTTAATTTATTCTGTTAGCTGGACATCCTTACAAATCTAGGAGGTAGAGGCATGGTCAGAGACAGATTCTGATGTGAATAGTATTAAATCTATTTGCCTCAAAAAAGGAGAACAAAAAAACCCACCATGTGAAAGAACCTGCCTGCTAATAATGTGTCTATCACATGGTTGTCTGGGCATAGGGTACTTCCTGTTACACACAGGCAATTTCATTATACTGGCACCTGCAGGTGTTATCATTGCTTTTATGTTAAATTTTCAGTTTCATCATCTTCACTTATCAGAGGCACATTAATAAACAATGTAAATATATCAAAATAAGTAGTAACCATCACAAAGTGAACCACCATGAAGAAGGAGCTAAATCTCTGTAGTGTTAAAATTGAGCTTACCTAAATGAAACTGACCTCGTTATTCCTCTGTTTCTGAAACAGAGTCACTGTTTGGTGAAGATAAACTGTTCATGGGAAGTTAATTATTGTAGGAAATGCAATTGATTTAGACATTTGTGCATATTAGAGAGTTTCCTGTTCCTGCTGAAGCACAAAGACCCTAGCAAAACAAATACAATTTATGTTTGATTTTATTGTTCATTGATAGAAACCTGATTAAATTGTATTCAATAGATACAGTAGCGAAAAAATAGCATCTCTTCATAGCACTCACCATGTCTGCTAGATGTCTCGTCTTTACCTCTGGAAAAAAGGCCTAAATATGTTTCTTTCTGTTTGTTCAACACTTTCCTGGCTATAGTCTGTGGCATAACGTAATACATTTAAGATCTGTTTTGTTATGCAAACAGAGAAGCAGTCTTTACTATTGAGAAAATCAGCTGCTGGTATACCTGGAAGATGTATAAATGCTATAGGCAGGGGTGGTTTCTTAGCAAACAAGGACTATACAGGTGACGGTTAATCACATGGGCAATATTTGTTAAAAAAAACAAAAAAACAAACAAAAACCAAGGCTAGCTTGGAACTGAAAATTCACTTGCAGCGTATAAACTATAAATCAAAGATTAGATTTGATTTTTTGTTTTAGAAAGTCATGTGTGTACACATGTATTTACACATGGGAAAGAGATGGGATTTTTGTCTTCTGGTATTAACGTTTACTGTGGCACTTTTGCTTGTGTCTGGTTTAGGGAAGCTGGTAGTGAAAAAATAACATACATTTTTGCCTCTGATGTTAGAATCTGAAATTAAAATCTAAACTGTGATTCTTTTGCTTTCAGTATTAGCCAGTTAACCAGCCAGTATAGGGTTTTTTTTCCCTTTCATCCCCCATTATTTCATGATTACGAGTTCCAGGAAACTGAATAGTGAAGTGCAATACAAGTGAACTTAAGATCTCTTTTTTTGAATGTTCCAGCTAGACTCACCCCATTCAGCCTCTTGTATTTAAGATAATATTACATCTTAAGTCCAGCATTCAGGAGTTAGCTTTTATAAAGTTGGGCTTTAAGTCTGCAATATAGAATTGCTGTCCTAGTGGTGAGATTATGTTGAATAGAAAAACACCTCCCTGGGCTTCTGACTTGTTCTAGGGAGTCAAATCTGTGTAGGGAGTGAAATAGAAAAGAATATGACTTAATGGTCTAAGGCAATTTGATGCTCTCTGTTTAAAGTGTTTTACTCTAGACTCTTAGCAGTGTGGCTGAATGGTTCTTGGTAGCTACGTACCTTTGAGAAGTCTTATTTCCTGATCTGTTTGCCTAGGCTTTGAGGATGGACAAAACAACTGGAAGTAAGTCTTGCATATACGCAGCTCCTGCTGAAATAGACTGGAAATGTGGCTTTAATTTAAGATGTGAAATATAATGCTAAGTACCGAATAAAACCACATTTTGAGGCATTTCTAGGTGAATACCCAAAATGAGTAGATGCTAAATGACCATTCTGACTGTAATCTTTAGCAAAGTAGCAGTAATTATGGACCTTAATTTCATTGTACAGTCTGTAATAATGAAGCTAATTTAGTGTAAGTAAGTGTTTTATAAACAGAGATGGTAGAATTGAAATGTTAAGAGATGTCTTTCTGTTTAGTTAAAACATTTTTTCAGGAGTGTTTGAAGGGGGTTTATTTGAATGGGGTTAAATATTAATATATAGTGATGGCCCATTGATTGTGGGAAGAGATTTCTTTGTAAGGAAAATTAACATCATAATCCGTATAAAATGGAGGCTGAATTAGGGTTATACATCATTCTGCCATTTATTAAACTTGGATGCTTAACCTTTTAATTATTTTCAGTTGTTGTATGCTGTATTTGTGCATGAGTGCACACAAATACCCACAGAAATATTTTGCACAACATATTTGCTACACTACTGGAAATATTTTGCTAGGCTGTAACTGAGTCTGTGAGTTGAGAAACTGAAATGACTTTGTTTCATATTTTGCTGTTGTGCATTCCTGTGAAAAACTCATTACAATAAAAGTGTACTGAACAAGGCTTTTTGTGGCTGGGGTAGAAATTCTTGATAATTTAACTCAAAGGAGGAGGTATACCTTGTTCTCTTTCGGCCTCATCTCTCTTTTATTTCCTCCTTAAAAAATGAAAAAGAGGGGGAGACATGAAGGAAGGCCTACAAGGCCTGCTATTTCTTACAGAATAGGTGTTGAAGAGAAAAGGAGAATCAGAATGCAGACAGATCCTTGCTTTTTCAGCTTAA